TCCCTCTACTCCTTCCCGTGCCCTCCCCACCCCCCTGTCCCCCAGATCTACTCCTCCTCCCTTTCCCTTCAGAACAGAGCAGGTACCATAAGAATATCAACCAAACATGGTATAACAAATTGCAGCAAGACTAGGCATAAACCCCTGTAAATGGAGACTACTTACTCATTTCCTGGCCACCCAGATCCAAATAATCACTCAAAAACTATATTAATTACAACACTGGCCAATAGCTTGGGTGTATTCCTAGCTAGCTCTTATATCTTAAATTAACACATTTCTATTAATCTGTATATCACCACGAGGCTGTGACTTACCAGTAAGGTTCTAGCATCCTTCTGCTTCAGCAATTACATGACATCTCTTTGACTCCTTTCCTCCTCTGTCTCTGCTTGGAATTCCCGCCTTGCTATACTCTGCCCTGCCATAGGCCAAAGAAACTTCTTTATTAACCAATGGTAATAAAACATATTCATAGCATACAGAGGGGAATCCCACACCAAACCCCATATGAAGCCTTGACTAGGAGGAGAAAAGGGGTCCTAAGAGCAGACAAAAGAGTCAGAGACACCCTCCCCACCCCCACTGTTAGAAGTCTCACAAATACACCAAGCTACACAACCTTAATGTATATGTAGTGGACCTAGCTAAGACCCGTGAAGTCCCCATGATTGCTGCATTAGTCTCTGTGCACCCCCACAAGCCCTGTTTAGTTGATTCTGTGGGATGTGTTTTCCTGGTGTCCTTTAGGAAAATTTTTGACTAAGATGCATTTGAAAATGTTTTCTGGGCCTTTGAGCTGGAATTCTTCTCCTTGGTTTCTATTATTCTTAGCTTTGATCTTTTCATAGTGTTCCAGACTTCCTGAATGTTATATTTCAGGAAACCTTTTATATTTAACGTTTTCTTTGACTGATACATTCATTTCTTCTATTGTATATGCACTGCCTGAATTTCTCTGTTCCATGTCTTGTATTCTTTTTTGAAGCTTGCCTTTATAATTCCCATTCGCTTACCTAGATTTTCATTTCTAGAATTCCTTCAGAGTACGTTTCCTTAATTGCTGCTATTTCCATTTTCAGAACTTGAACAGATTCATTCATTTGTATCAACTTTTTTCCCTTAGCTTTCTTTAATGTATTTATTCATTTCCTCTTTAAGGACCTCTATCATCTTCATAAAGCTGGTCTTATTGTCTTTTGCTTGTGCTTCAGTTGTGTTGAAATATTCAGGGCTTGCTGTCATAGGATAGCAAGACTCTGGTAGTGACGTATTGCCCTGGGTGTTGTTGATTGTGCTCTTACTCTGGTGTCTAGGTATCTGGGTTTGAGGTGTTTATGGGTCTAAGGTGTTGATTTCTCAATTTGTCTTTGTTGGTTGGATGTTTTGTTCCTCGGTTTCTATCTGCTCTCTGATCTTCTGGTTTGTGTGGCCTATGGTTAGACATGCGTTCTCCCCTCCCAAGATAGGACCTGGAAATCTGGCAATAGGCATGGCTATAGTTCCATCAAAGAGTCTGTGTCCAAGATTGGGGTTGAAAAAAGCAAATGGGGTGGACTCTTGAGGATAGTGTTGAAGGGACACTGAGAGAGTGTGGGGGTTCTGCAGGCAGGTGGCCTATATGAACTTCTGGCAGACGGTGTGTCCTTTGTTCAAGCAGGGGTCTGTGTCTAATTTGGGGGCTAGCACACAATAATGAGGAGGGATAGTGTCTGGGGGTTCAGATGAAATGCTACAGCAAGCGAAAGCACTTAAGGTATCTGAGGGTGAACATGCTGTTCCAAACATGTCTCTATTCTTCTGCCTCTATTCCAATTCTTTCCTAATTCTAATACCTCCTCGCTTCTCCTCTAGCCTAAAACTTCCTCTCTTTCAGGAGGCTTGAAGCTAAAGAAAAAATTACCTTTCATTGGTCAAAAGCACATTCCTAGGGTAAGTGATAAGGAATTGAGCCAATGACCATGATGACAAGGTTTCAGGAGTAAGGCTGTGATCAGAGAAAACAGGAACACAGTGCACAACTGGCAAGCTTATCTTGTGTTTTGTGTTAGCAACCTTGGTTTGGACACCTGCAACTCTGACCTTGTTGCTCTGGAGTGGAAACCTATCAAGGTGCCCTAAGGGTGAGACTCCACTCACCTTTAATTTATATAAGGAATAGCATAGTGTTTCCTACTTCCAGGAAGCAATTTCATACAAAACCTGCTGCACCTGTGGTCCAGGTATGTTAGTGTCCATCCCAATTAAGAAGTCAAATTTTGCAAGATTTGCCACACCCTTGATGTGGCAGCCTTGGAAACAAGAAAGAATCAAAATTTAAGGTTATGGATTCTTAGTCTGTGGTTTCAGTTTAGCATTGTTGCAGGCATCTATGTTTAGGAGTGACAGAAACCCAGTATGGAGACTGTGAGAGTCCATTGCATGAAGCTGTAAGGGTAAAGCCTGGGTTGCATTTTTCACAAGATGTTGAAATACCAAAGCTGTAAGATATCTGCCACAAGAGGTGGCTGTATATATGGAATAGAAGTACCCAAAGAGAGACCTATGAGAAGTTTCAGGGATGGGGTTATCTAAGCCCTTGGAAACTGAAGCCCCATGCATCCGAGACAGAGCTGTAGGATTTGATGTTCTGTCCTGTTGTGCTTCAGTCTTGTCTTGGTCCAGTCTTCCTTCACTGTGTTCCCGTTCCTCTCTTTTGGAGTGCAAATGGATATTCTGTGCCACTGTATATTGGAAAGATGCAACTTGTTTTCTAATTTTACAAGATCTCACAGACAAGAGATTGCCTTGAGTGTTGGAAGATGCTTTGGGCATTTCAACAGTGTAGGGGCTGCTGCAGATTATGAAAATCACTGAAGTGACTAAATGCATTTTCTTCACGGATGACCATGAACCTATAGTGACATGGGTCAGAATATAGTGTATTAAGTGAAAACTCTCCCGGGTAGCATGATGTATTTGAACATGTGTTTCTCTTTGATGTCTTGCTTTGTGTTGCTTATAAAACCTTTGGTAGGAGAAGCCTTTCCGGATGAAATTCTTCATTGGGAGTGTGATGTGAGCGCTTATAACCCATTTCATGTTCTTTGAGTATAGTGTGTTGCAGGATCCTTCCTGTGCTGTCATGCCTTCACACCATTACAGATTCTATTCCTAAGTCACGTAAGATACAATAGAAACTTTTGTTATTCATTCCTCAGCTAGTTTGGTAGCCTGCTGTTTTCATTTTTGTTTGTTTTTGAAGACAAAGTTTGTCTGTGTAAGCCTGGCTGTCCTCACAGTAGCTCTGTAAATCAGGCTTGCCTTGACCTCAGAGATCCCCCTGACTCCCAAGTGCTAAGATTAAAAATGGGCCAACATTCTTGAGTTTTTGTTTTTATATTATTGGGTGATGGTCCTGGAATGCAGGTTTTTGTACATGTCAAGCATATACTTGTAGTGATATTTTATTTGTATTTTAGTAAATAAAGCTTGCCTAAAGATCAGAGTGCAGAGTTAAGCCACTAGAGGCCAGGAAATGGTGGCACACACCTTTAATCCTAGGACTCAAGGCCACCCTGGCCTACATGAGATTGAATCTGTCTAAAAAGAGAAATAGAATTCACACAAAGGTGCTCCTGGTACTCAGGAATCACAGGTCTTTAACCCCAGCACTAGGAAGATGGGGGAGACAAGAGTGTGGCTGGGCAGAAAGAGATATATAAGGCAGGAGGAGACTTCCTTGCCGTCTGGGGTTTAATGGAAATCATTGCAGTCTGCAGTCATGCTGAGGACAGGATCATCCCTTTGTTGTCAGAACCTTGCTAGAGATAAGCACTCTCTATTGACTTGGCTATGGCTGTTTTGCTTTTCTGATCTTCAGCTTCATAATATCTGGTTCTGGGTTTTTATTATTTGAGCTTCATAATTTGCTGTGCTGAGCTTCACCCATATTTTGAATTTAGAAGTTTGCAGAGTCTGTCATTGCTTTTCCCAGGCTGGCATGTGTTCGTGACATTAGTACTTCCTGAGCCTTCTGAGGCAGTGGATTGTGTGTGTATGACCTTCTTTCTGCCTGTTCTGTTTGTTTTTTAATACTTTTAATGGATATGAGTATTTTTCCCGTATTCATGGATACGCATCCTCATAGTAGCCAAAAGATTGTCTTAGAAACCTTGAACTTGGGATAATGGATAGTTGTGATACCCCGTGTAAGTGCTGGGAATTAAGCCCTATATGCAAGACCAGAGAGAGCTCTTTATTGTTGAGTCATCTCTCCTCTGTGTTGTTTGTTTATGATCAATATTTATATCTCATTGTCCATTTGTAACTGTTTAAACATGCAGTGCTTTTTGGTAAGATCTTAGTGACCTTACACTTTAAACTGTGGCATTTCAAGTTTTTGAAAGATGAATCCCTAACACTTTGCAAGAATTTCAGAATGAATGAATGAATGAATAAATAAATAAATAAGTAAATGGGTGAATGGATGGATGAATGAATGAATGTGAGCTCTGAGATCTATCTTTTTTGTTTCTTTGCATGATTTTTACCCAGGAGTCCAGGTCTTAATATGTACTTCTGACCTGATGCATGGACTAGGCTGGCATACAACTCAGGGGCAGATAAACCTTCCCCTGCCTTCTGAATACTGGGGTTAAAGGCATGAGTCAGTCCACCCAGATTGCCCATCTTATTTTTAATTTTTTGTAGTTAGTAATTATTTAAATAATTTCTCTAATATGTACTTTGTACTGTTGATTGTTTACTTGTCTCTTTATGTTTGTTAATGGTCATTTCTCTTGCAAGGCGATAGCCCATTCAAACAGTACAGAAATGTCAGAGGTGAACCTCCTATTTAGTTTCCTTCTCAACTAACTTGGTAAACACAGTATAATATCCTTGTCATAGAATAAGTGTGAGGAGCACCAGAATTATATGACTATGTTGTCAAAGAATTATACATTTACAATATTGTCAGTATCACAGTTTTTGTTGTTTACATGTGTGGGATATTTTAGAATACAGTGACCTATGATGATTTACATATCGACTTCACTTGGAAAGAATGGGCATTGCTGGATCCGTCTCAGAAAAATCTCTACAAAGATGTGATGCTGGAGACCTACAGGAATCTCACTACTATAGGTAAGACTGAATTTTCCTTTATGTTTTCAAATAAGGGGACAACCGTTCCTTGATTATTAATGTTCTTCTGTAATTTGATTGAGAAAGAGGACGAATGAGGTATGTAACAGGAATTCTAATTGTTCTTAATAAAAACCCAGAGACATTGGGGTTAAAGCTGAAGATCAGAGAAGTAGCTGGAGAGTTCTCACCTCTATCAGTACTCAGACTGAATGGGCAATCCTGTCCTCAGAATGACTGCAGACTGCATTGAGCTCCTGTCTCCTCCCCTTTATATTCCTCTCTAGTGCTGGGATTAAAGGCATGGGATCCCAAGTGCTGAGATCATCTTTTATGAGCCCTGTTTCCCTTTTAGAGTGGATCAGTTTTGTGTAGCTCAGGGTGGCCTTGAACTAACAGAGATCCTTCTGCCTCTGTCTCCCAAGTGCTGGGATTAAAGGTGTGTGCCACCATCGCCTGGCTTCTTTGGCTAACTAGTGTGGCTATTGATATTAACTGTGTGTAAAATCACTGACTGGCCTCTATGACTGTGTCTAGCTTTGTACTCTGATCTTCAGGCAAACTTTTTTAGATCATAAGCAAAATATTACCACAGAGGTGACTAAATCAGGCATGGATCTAGGGTTCACTGAAGATGGTAACTTAAATTTTACACAATTTTCAATAATAAACCATGCACTTTCTTGTACTATATTTTAGGATACAATTGGGACGACCATAGAATTGAGGAACATTATCAGAGTTCTAGAAGACATAAAAGGTAATTTTTTTTCTTTTTTGAGACCTGGTTTCTCTGTAGTTTTTATGCCTGTCTTGGAAGTTGCTCTTGTAGACTAGGCTGGCCTTGAATTCACAAAGATCCGCCTGTCTCTGCCCCCCAAGTGCTAGGATTAGAGACATGTGCCACCACTGCCCAGCTACATAAAAGGTAATTTTTTTTGTGCAAGATAATAGAAATGTGCCTCTGAAGATATTGTAATGTGTCCTGAAAGTTTTAAAGAAAAGCAACAGTGTAAAGAAGCACAACTTAAAGTGTATGGATGTTTACAAAATTCTCACAAAACCATATACCTCAATTTCAGAAAGATGAATTGAGTTTGCCAGGCATTCCAACCAGGAAGAAGACAAAGAAACAATGCCTTAACAGGTGTCACCATTTGAATCAAACCCCATTATAGCTGTGGTGTAGAACTGCCAATCCATTTAGTTTTATACCACTCATATTACAGAAGGAATACACATTGAAGAGGTGATATGTATATGTCCAAACCTTCTAATAAGCAAACGGTCCATAGTAAAGCAATGTTACTTATATTTGCACATACTTGTTTTAACTTTACTAAGTTAAGTGAGAGGAGCAGTTAGTCAAGAGTCAAGGGGTGTTTGTTGTGGAGAAACCTTAAACACTATACCACATTTATGAGGAACAGAAAGTAAAATTATAAATTCAATGTGGAAACCTTTTATTTGTTATTCTTCCTTTACTAGGTATATCATCTGTCACTCTAGATATAAGACATGAGCATAGAGACATGGAAATATGTAACATAACCTCCCCCTCAGAACAATTAGAAGATTTGTAGTAGTCCCCACTTTTGAGTAGATTTGTTGAATTTGGTTCAGGTCTACAAGTAGTTGGGTTTGCAACTTTATTGTTAATTCATCAACAGAACCACACTGCAGAAAAGCCCTATGAGTGCTAGAAATGTGTAGATACTTCTTTTTGTCCTAGTTCACTTAGCTATGACTCACAGCATAGGAAAAATTTTGAATGCAATAAGTGTGGTGAAGATTGAGATTTTCCAGTTCTTCTCAAATATGTAAAAAATCCCATTTAGAAAAAAGATTCTATAAATGTGAGCCACGTAATAAAGGCTTTTACTATCACAGTTATCTTCAAAGATGCAAAACAACCCTTAATGAAGGGGAAAAACACAAGTGTAAATAAAGTGATAAAACCTTAAGATCTCATTCCTCTTTACCGTCAGACTAAATTGATGAAATTAATTCATACAAATATGAAGATTCAACAGTGTAATGAATGTGGTAAAACTTACATGTGCCAATTATTCTTGCAGGTATGAAAGAAGTCATACTGGAGGGAAAACAGCTAAATATACTCTATGTGTTAAAGCCTTTCCAAATCATAGTCATCTTCAACAGCTTGAAAGAATTCAGACTGGAAAGAAACCCTATAAATGTAATCAATGTGGTAAAGCATTTGCACATCACGGTAGTTTCCGAGTCCATAAAAGAACACATACAGGAGAGAAACCCTATAAATGTAATCAGTGTGGTAAATCCTTTGCATGCCCCAGTAATCAACGATTACATGAAAGAACACATACTGGAGAAAAACCCTATGAATGTGATCAGTGTGATAAAGCTTTTGCACGTTCTTCTAATCTCCACATACATAAAAGAACACATACTGCAGAGAAACCCTATGAATGTAATCATTGTGGCAAAGCCTTTGCACGTCAGAGTCATCTTCAATGCCATGAAAGAACACATACTGGAGAGAAACCCTATGAATGTAACCAGTGTGGTAAAGCTTTTGCACGTCACTTTACTCTTCAGATACATAAAGGAACACATACTGGGGAGAAACCCTATGAATGTAATCTGTGTGGTAAATCCTTTGCTTGTCCCAGAACTCTCAAATTACATAAAAGAACACATACTGGAGAGAAACCTTATGAATGTAACCAATGTGGTAAAGTCTTTTCATATCTCTGTAATCTTCGTATGCATAAAAGAATACATACTGGTGAGAAACCCTATGAATGTAATCAGTGTGGTAAAACCTTTACACATCACAACCAACTTAAAAGTCATAAAAGAACACATACTAGAGAGAAACCCTATGAATGTAATCAATGTGACAAAACCTTTGCATATCATAGTGCTCTCCGAATACATAAAAGAATACATACTGGAGAGAAACCATATGAATGTAACCAGTGTGGTAAAGCCTTTGCACAACAAGGTCATTTTCAAATACATCAAAGAATACACACTGGTGAGAAGCCCTATGAATGTAACCAGTGTGGTAAAGCCTTTGCACGTCAGAGTCATCTTCAAAGCCATGAAAGGACCCATACTGGAGAGAAACCCTATGAATGTAACCAGTGTGGTAAAGCCTTTGCACATCGATGTCATTTTCAAAGACATCAAAGAATACATACTGGTGAGAAACCCTATGAATGTAATCAGTGTGGTAAAGGTTTTGCATGTGTCAGTACACTTCGAAGTCATGAGAGAAAATACTGCAAAGAAACCCTGTAAATGTAGCCAGTGTGGTAACGCTTTTCCCTTTATATAGAGGTAAAACTTTTTGTGTGCAATCAATCTGTTAAAGCCTTTGCATAGTATAGCAATATTTGAGAACCTTAAAAAAAAACTAATACTGAAAGGGCTTCTTACTATAAAGTATTTGGTAAGATCTTTAGCCAACACACCTACATGCAGTTACACAAGAGTATTCTGGAAAACAATTGACAATGTCAGCAATCTATTCAGGCATTATGGTGTCCATCTTTATTTTGTTTGTACAATGTTAATGTTAAAATGCTTAATAGCAGAGAATATAAGAAACAGTAAATATCTCGTGTGTATCCAAAGAAGTATTTTCATATATCTGGTAGGGAAGTAATGATGTAGAATAATCAGCAATAAATTGTATATTTCATAATATAGCTTGATGTGCTATGAATCTGTATAATTTGAAGTTACATGTGTCTTTATATTCTCATCAGTTGTCTAAATGGCACTTCATCTCAAAGTACTGCATTCTAAGGATTATCCAGAGATGCCAGATAATGTAATGGCAAGATTTAAGCATAAAAATGGCAAGATTGAAGAAACATTTCTTTAATGTGTGTGTGTGTGTAATATGTTATTTTAGGTCAAAATAGATAGGTAGAGACCATAAGACAACTTTGTGGGGTCTACTTTTTTCCTTCTTCATATAGTGATCAAAATGAGGTTACCAGCCTTGCACACCACAGACATTTCCCACTGAGCCATCTCGCTGATGCTCAAGTTTGATTAGTTGAAAATTTGCATCAGAAAATAGTGTCTTCCTTTCAGATTGTAAACATATTTTTCTCTAAGGATAGAGGAAAACAAGATAATTTGAGTAATAAATCCTATTTGCAGGTGAAAATGATATACTGCTATCACTTTTTTTCCAGTGTGTTAGTTTATTCTGAGGACTAAACACTTCATAGCAGTTTCCCGAAACCACAAATGAATGCCAGAGAACTGTCTCAGTTGGTAAAACTGTTATTGCTAAGCCTAATGATCTGAGTTCAACCTCTAGGAAACCCATATTACTCCTAGAAATTTTTCTCTCATTTCTTCTGCATTTGGGCTGCAGCATACTAATGGGGAATCGTCTTCAGCCAATGGCCTTAAGAGGCTGAACCAGTTGGGTGTGCTTTTGAGTACCAAAAAGCCCACAGGAGCACCTGCTTGGCCTCTTCCTGCTCACCACACCTGGATGTTGCACACCTTTCTTCTTTTCTCATTGTGATCTATGAGTTCTCCTTTTAGTAAGGAAAAACCTTAGTATACCCTATTCAGAGCTAGTGGGAATTATTTGGCGCTCTCCCCCCCCCCCATTTTGACGCATTCCACATCATCTGTCACCCAACATGGGACCAAGTCCATACTTACCAGGAATCCTCTGCCCCCTGCCATGCCAACCTGGGCACATTTCTCGCCCACCTGTGGCCCACATGCCACTGCTCAGGAACCTGACTTTCCCCACTGCAGCCCGACATTGAGGGGAAGCTTTGGGTGTCCTTATCCCGGCCAACCTTCTGTCTGTGTTTTGCTTTTGTTGGTTAATGAATAAAGAACTAGCTTGGCCTATAGCATCTGAGGAGGAAGGCAGAATAATAAAGAAGCCATGGAGCTACCAGAGACAGACGCTGGGAACTTTAGCTGGTAAACCACAGCCACATGGTGATACACAGATTAAAAGAAATGGGTTAAATTAAGATATAAGTGTTAGCCAATAAGAAGCTAGAGATAAGGGGCCAATTTTCATTAATATAGTTTCTGTGTGGTTACATCAGGGCTGGGCAGCCATGAACCAGCAAGCAGCCCTCCTTGCAACAACCAACTCTCTCCATGGACAGAATCTCTTTAATTGTCCATAATAACTGCTCTTATTTTGTTATCCAAAGCATATTTGTCAGTATCTAAATAGGCAACAGTGCACGCAAAACCAGTGCAGTAACACAACAGTGTCCCTCTGGCACACAGCTGCAATTGCGACACCTACTGACCAATAAAGATTATCACACCTACTCCACTGAAAATCCCTGAGGCAGGTATGTAGATTGTAAAATTTGAAAGTTATATGATGACAGACAATATTACCATTCAGGAATTTAATACCATGTTGCTTACACTATGGATGGTATTCAGCAAGGCTTATGTGATTTTCCTTATGCATCCATTTATTTGATTTTGGAAATTAGCTTCATTTTTCATATTATATCTTCAATAAAATGCTTTGATAACAGAGCCAAGAATGAGGCACTTTTAAAAATGATACAGTCTTTACAGACTAATAAACAGCTAGCTGAAAAGAATTAATACTATTAAAAAGGATAACATTAATTTGACAGACAAAATTCAATCCATGTCAAAGGGTGCTAAAAAAATTTATCTGAATTCGTAGTGTTGAATTTACCAATCAGAATCTGTTAAAAAGTTATGATATGTTAATGGATAAGGTATCTCTACAGAAAGGCAATGTACATGTCATCTAAGTAATTTCCAAGAATGAGATGTTGTCTTTACTGGACAAATTTCTTACCTTGGAATCATACGTGCAAAATAAGGAGCAGAAGCTAAATAAATCAATGAGGGCCCCAAAACAGCACACAGGACTGTAGTGATGAGCTGCGGGCAGGCCTGCTTTTTGTCCCACCCGGCTCCCTCCTGGCTAGCTTAGCCCCAGAAATAACAACACACAAATTGTATTCATTTAAACACTGCTTGGCCCATTATCTCTAGAGAGTTACTGGCTAACTCTCACATCTTGATTAACCCATTTCTAATAATCTGTGTAGCCACGAGGTGGTGGCTTACCAGAAAAGATTCAGCATGTCAGACCTGGTGACTGGCTCCATGGCATCTGCCTCATTGCCCTCTTCCCAGCATTCTGTTCTGTTTACTCCGCCTACCTAATTTTCTGTCCTATCAAAGGGCCTAGGTAGTTTCTTTATTAACCAATGAAAGTAATAATAAATAGAAGACCCTTCCACATCACAGGACTGGAGATTTAGACTTTACAAAAGACAGTGGTAAAATGCTGCCATTTATTTGGGCCTAGATTTTCCCACACAGCAGCCCTGATTAGCTGCTACCAGCTGACTTCTGTGTCCAGCTTTTTCCTCGCCTGTGGAAGCTCAGGCAGTGCCAAGGGCACAACAGGCAGAGAGATGTGGGAGACGGAGACGGAAAAGGTTGAGGAGCTCACGCCCAGCGCCACCACTGCCCACATGGGCAACATGCCCTCTGTCCCAAGTAGGAAGCCCCAACCTTCCTCTGCCAACTGTCTCATGTATCTGTTAAACAGCCAGGGACCTCCGCTGAGTACACAGTCTGTGATTTATATTTACACTAAATAACCATTTTTAATCTGAGCATATCTTTTAGCATTGAATCAGATTTAAACCAGTCACACAGCTCCAAGTGCAACGTGACACCTACTTGCAGGTAACGGTTATTACACCTACTTCAGCTAACTAAACCACAGGTAAGATTTATTATGGACAATTTAACCTTTCAAGGTTTCAATAGCCTCTATACTTACACCATGTATGAGGTTTTGCAAGACTTATATAATTTCCCTCCTTCATCACTATTTCTCGAGCTAATGGGCCAAGCAGTGATTTAATTAATACAGTTTCTGTGTGATTATTTCTGATCTCAGCTAGCCAGGTGGCCTGGAACCAAGAAGCGGGCCCCTCCTCCAACAAAGATTCTGATTAAATTATTGTTACATCTGTACCTGTGACTACCAGATCTTCAATAACAACGTCACTTATTTATGTTTTCAATTCTGGTATTGTTCATTTATAGAAGTTTGCCAAAACATTTGCTTTATGGTTTCTCCTGAATTTTTTGTCCTCTCTTCTATATCTGTTCAATTATCCAGAGCAGTATAGTTTCTTACAATAGACATTAGGATTTTTTATTGCTTTGGTAAGGGGTTTCTTCTACAATGGCTGGAAACTACTCAACCAGATTTGGCGTAGGGGCCAAATGTCTGCAAAAGGCCCCTCATGGACTTTCCCAATGCAAAGTATTATTTTGAATATTCCTCATTGACCTATATTTATTAGTTCAATGCCTGCCCGTGCCATGCATAATACAGAATGGAGGTGCATTCTGAATGGATTATTTTTAGAAAAAAAACATTGTTTCTAGGAATGTCCTGTTGATAATCTCTTTTAAAGTGAACTTGTTTGTCACAACTGTAACATTTGACATTTTGATTTTTCCTCAAACCTCTGGAAATCACCTCTCCTATCCATGTAGCATCATGTTCATGAGAGTCTATATTAATTGTATCTCAGATTCTTTACTCCTTGCCTTTAATGGCCTAATTATCCATTTGCATAGAGAATTGGCATTTTTAGAAGCCAGAGATTTTATTATTATTTGTCTAGCTCCTGAATTTGATATCATTCTGTTTACTGCTGAAGTCAATCTTTGTAAGAAATCCTTAAAGGCTTTCTTTGGGCTCTGTATAACGTTAGTAAATGACTCAATTTTCTTTCCTATTTCTCCAATTCTGTCCCAAGCACTCAAAGCTGTTGTGTGGCATAAATCCAGAGTGCAGTCATCATATACAGTTTGCATTCCTACAGTAAGTAATGTAGTATCCTTCTCCAAAACTTTGATCTTGGAAGACTTCCCTATCTCTAGCTTTAGTCTGTTTTTCAATAATCTCAGTTTCTTCTTTGAACCAGGGACTCCTTTGTAATTGTGCACCGGTCTCTAAAACTCCATTAACCAAATCTTTCCAGTTACTAGGGATAATTCTATTACAAATTGACCATGAGTTTGTCATTTGCTTCACAAAAGGTGAAAGCATGCCATTTGGGACTATTGCTTCCTTGAATCTCCTTCAATCCTACATTGGCACAATAGTCCAGTTAGCTGTAACAGAGACTCTGCCATTTGGCAATTCCTGTAAGGTTCCTGGATATATTGAGGTTGGTTTTCTGAAAAACTTAGGCTGTTCCTTCCTATTCTTATAATTATTCTGTCTGGGTTTGAATCAGTGATCTGTTTTATTAGATTTTTCTGAATCCTATATCTTAGCACTGAGATTAATCAATTTTTAAATTATAAGACAAAAATCATAATACTGATAATGTTCACAATTGACATCACATAAATCCTATCTAAATTAGATATCCTCTAATTTGATCATTCTATTTTTAAAATGTCTAGCATTATCATCATACAGAGACCCAAATCCCTTCATTATAATGTTTTTTCTCAATTTTAATATGGAGGAAAAACTCTTTCTTTTAAGTAATCCCTCCCTTTAAGAATTCCCATTTGTCTTACCAAATCTACTAATGAAGTTGATGAAGATGTGAGGCTGATTGCTGCTGCATAGAGCAGTAAAAGTCTGGCTGGATTTCAAGGAGAGTCTGCAACTGATGGTGGAGAGAGGGGAGGGAAGAGGAAAAGAAGTGGAGCCAAGCGGCTAGAGAAGTCTTGTCTTTACCAAGGCTGGGTGACCACAGACTAAGCAGGCAGCCTCTCTCCTCTAATTTTATATTCCCTCTCGTGCTGGAATTAAAGGTGTAGGCCACCACCACCTGGATT